TACTAACATTTAACACTATTTTGAAATTTACCATTTTTCAATTTTTACCATCTCTGGTTATCGCCCTTGGATTGGGAACGCTTGTTTACAAAGCTTCGTAACCACAACGGTTAATTTTAAAATAATTATAGCAGAGTGCGTTCGCGCGTGTTTGCACATCACTATCACAATGATTACAATTACATTAAGTTTCTCTTCGCAAATCAGCCCTGAGGATGATCTCAGATGATATCGAATGTACTGGGGCCAACAAAAACTACGGTACCTTCCTTGATGTATTTCAAATTAACACCAAGAACTTAATTATGCAACTTGAAAGTATTATATCTATCTATCTATCTATCTATCTATCTCTCTCTCTCTCTCTCTCTCTCTCTCTCTCTCTCTCTCTCTCTCTATCTATCTATCTATCTATATATATATATATATATATATATATATATGGATGATTGATGTACCTATTGTCATTGTTTGCGGCATTTAATTAAAGTTTCAGATCTGACAGTGACAAGAATACCCGTATTAAAGATTACTCCTTACTTTACTGTACTTTCTATTCTCTTCTTCAAAGAACAGAAATAGAAACGAGGTAAACCGGTGCTGGTCGTTCGTGCTAAAAAAAAAAAAATGCCAGAAAGCATTATGAAGAGAGTGTCTGGCCTTCATTTTGCTTATTGTAGGACGATTAAATGATTTAGCCAGACAGAAATTCCTTTTCTTCTTGGCAAGAACCTTGATTATCGATTCTTCACAATCCCTTTCCATACTTTGAGAGAGATAATTCAATCTCTCACTGACTTCAACTGAACCAGCTTTTCGATTATCGTTGGGGTTGATTGCATTCTCCTACGTCCGTGTGAAACATCCGGAAGACGATCAAGAAAGAGTTGGCACTCGTCTAAGACGTTTGCTTCAATACAGCAAATGCCAAAATGATTTTCATTTCTATGATCGGAAAGGGAGATGCTTTTTCAAGTTGGAACGTGAAAAGACAAAGAGTAATGAGACGGTATGGTTAGGTCAATTCGTGAAAAGTGTAAAAGATGAAGTTTACTGTTAAATGGACTTTTTTCTCGATTTCACGTTAGATATTATTGCCATGAAAATATTCCAACTTAAAAATGAGAAGCTTAGTGAAATTTAATCAAATAAAACCCCTTACATTTGTTTTTCGAATAAAGTTTGTGTAGTGCTACTTACTCACAGGAAGTAGAATGCACTCAACTGTCTCAGGGGTAATAACCGTAGCTATTTATAGTCTTTGTGACTTCATATATAAATGAGTCATCTCACCTTTCTGTACAGAAAAGGCTGTATCTCCTTATTTTACATGGTACTTCTTAATTTCTTCAAGAAATTTCTGGATATCTAGTTGCATTTCCAATAAAACATTATTAATTCGGGTATTTAATAAACTTTTTTTCATGTTTTTTTTTTTTTTTAATGAAAAGACGTCCATACTTATTTCCTTATAATTTTGTTGGACCGTCTTTTTTGTTTTCTTTTTTGTATTTACACAATTTTAAAATGATTTATTTTGAAACATATTTCACATTTTTTTATACGCCGGATATTTTTGTTTTCTTTTCTTTGATGTTGATATCCACAATAAGTACACATGACTCTTTTTTTTTCTTTATCAGGTATGTGTCCATTTCTTCTACCAGCTCCCTAATTTCTTTTTTATTATATTTTCTAATTGATTCTCGTTGCTCATTTCAACACACTGTTCTATTAACAACTTTCGCAGTTATAAATACATTAGAGTCATTTGCCAGTACTTCTCATCTTGAAAGCCATTTACCAATAACATTTGGTTGGTTGAAATAATCCACTAAGCTCAATAGCTGGTCTAAGCAGAGGTGAACAAAATCTTAGAAAGTTGAGTTACTAAAGGGAAATAACTGAAACTGAAACCGAGATACCCGGAAGAGGCACGGCACGTGGAGCTAGAATAATCTACCCCAGTGGACGAAATAAAGGGTTCGGTTAGAAATTCGAATCACCCGAAGAAGGCCGGAGCGTACAACGGCCGAAACGTCGTGAATATGACAACAAATATGAGGACAACAGTCCGAATTATGTAAACAGTTACAATACTACATCTCAGAAAGATAGACTGATAAAAAAATAATAGGATTACAGATTGTGAAAAGTAAAACATTTATTGTTAGCTTTGAAAATATTAGAACCGCTATTGCTTCCATTTCCATCCTTTTTAAAAAGTTTTTCTATCTTCGAAAAAAAAGACCAGCTTGATTTACTCATTTGTGGGTGGGGGGATTGTAAGACCCCTCCCCTCTTATTTGATATCTACACCGTTTATTCAAGCGGCTAGGGTACCGTCTTATTATTGCCACTCGTGATATTACACCCAGCAGGGGCAATTGTATTTTATTTGGAATGGAGAATTGAAATAGCAATTAATTTAATTCACACCGGAGTTGCTTCGAAGGGCTCAGCATGGTACTTCAATGATCACACAGATGAAAGGATCAACATTATTATGAAATCATTTTCGTAAAACTATTCAGTTTAAAATTAAGCAACATTAAAAAGCTAAATGATTGAAACTATAAAATAATTTATCTACTAAATTAAATCGATAATAGGGAATCGCTGAAAGCCATGCAGGCAACAGTTCCACTGGGTTTTAGGTTAGTTTGGTACAAGACTTTCATAAGAAATAAGGCGGAAGAATAAGTTATAAGGTGGGAGAATAAGTTGTAAGGCGTAAGAATATGTTATAAGGAGGGAGAATAAGTAATAAGGTGGGAGAATAATAACGCGAGAGAATAAGTAATAAGGCTGAAGAATATGTTATAAGGCGGGAGAATAAGTCGTAAGGCGGAAGAATATGTTATAAGGTGGAATAATAAGTAATAAGGCGGAAGAATAAGTAATAAGGCATTTATGAGAATTCAAATCTTTACACGAGATCAGTGATGTGCAAGATAATCTTGCTCACCGTTGTTTTAGAGAAAGCACAATCATTACTAAGCTTCACTTCGACTTTCGTTGTAATGGGCATATGGTAATGACAGGACTCTCTATTGGCAAATCGTTTGGGAGAAGACACGCCAACTTTCACAAGCTTCAACTTAGCCAGATATAAATTTAAAGTAGTGGCAAATGTTATGAATAGAAAGTATTGTTTTTAAGTCCAAACTGTACAAATCGCTGGTAATCTCGATTCTCCTGTATGCATGTGAAACGTGGACACTGTTAGCAGAAACAGAGAGGCGGATACAAGCGTTTGAGGAAAAATGCACGAGAAAAAACTCGTTGGCATCTTCTATTGGGAACATAGCAGAAATGGGTTGAAAGTTTTGTGGGCCACAGGAACCTCTTCTCACCACCGTCAAATGGAGAAAAATGGCGTGGTTTGGACACATTTCAAGGTACAACAGCCTGTGCAAGGCCATCATGCAAGGCACCGTTGAAGGTGGACATAGGATGGGACGCCAACATAAAATCTTGACAATGTCAAATACCGGACAAGTATGACTGAACCCGAATTGCTGATGGATGCTGTTGATAGACCGTTGAGGAAGAGATTCAGCGTGAATTCTGCATTCGGATCCCCACTACAATAACAAAAGTCAAGGGGATGATGATAATTGTATTAACCAACTTTTAACATATTTATGACTTGAAGTAATAAGCTAATTTTACTATTAAGCAAGTCACACATATTTGTATTCACTATGTTTATAACACGAAAAAGGAAAGATTCTGGCGTGACAAAATGCCAAATGAGAAGGATCTGTTTACATGTATCATTATCATTTTAAAACGTTTTCTTCTTAGTCTCGAATATCAGCCACTGTTGCTAGTGAGAGATAGGAAATCTCAGCAACAAAAACCGGTCTCTATAGGCTTGAAAACGGTTTTTAAAACAGATAGGCACAAGCGCTGTTAGAGATACGCAACTAGCCGCGAGATCAGCCCTCAGGCGTTTGTAACAAAAAAAACAAAACTCTGTTACAGGATGTAAATAAAAAAAAAATCACTCCTCAATTCAGGAACGACTTCTTGTCTCAATTTTTTAAATGAGAATTTTTTATGTTTAAAATCCAGGCAATGGATATTTTTGTAGAACTAATACTAAAAAATAAAAGCAAAATATTTTTTAGCATCGTTTAGGAAATATAACATTGTAAGGACTTGTATGTAGACAAGATCAATTGTGTTTCATATTATTTTTTCTATTGTTAAATCGCTCTGGGCCACTAGCAAAGATGGAGGAGAAACATTGTAATGATAAAGCGAGAAAATGGCGACTAAGTGGAAGAGAATGGTTCAAGCAGACGACCGGAATTTATTCATTTTTCTTAATATAGTTGTTTAAATACCTTTTGTTAACAAAAAATTTATGAACATCTAGACATGCATAAAAATAAAAAAAATAATCTGCGTTTTACGCAAACATATATAAATACATACCTACACAAACACGCGCGCATATATACATATATATATATATATATATATATATATATGTATGTATCTATGTATTAGTTCATACAAAAATCTCAAGATACATACACACACACACACACACACACACATATATATATATATATAGAAATTATCCTTTTTGTATGGACTAATATTTTCTGTGTGGATTGTATACCAGCTGTTTTGTTCAATGTTTGTGTAGACATACCATCAATAATAGGAAATTTTTTAATAAATGTGTAAGAAAATGCACTAAATAATGAAAATGGTAATACACAATCACAGACATATACGTATTTGGAGAAGGACTAGAGGTGTGAAAAAAGAACGACTGAAAAGAATCAAGAGAAAAATAAATAAAGAAACTGGTGACCGTGGTGGCAGCAGGGCAGCACGAAATCAATTTGGAAAGGAAATAAATAAATAAAAAAGACCCGTTGAAAAATCAAAGAGAATAAGAAAGTTAAATAGAGTGAAAGAAAAATAAGATTATAAGAAGGAAAATAAAGTGAAAGAAAAAACGGTGAAATTAAATAAAATTAGAAAGAGAGAGAGAGAGAGAGAAAGAGGGAGAGAGACAGAGAGAGAAAAGTAGTAGTTGATAGATAAGGGAAAAAAGGAATATTGAGCCGAATAGAAAAATGGTCAAGAGGGGGAAAAGAAAGAAAGAAAAAAGTGTAGAAAGAAAAGGAGAGGGAAAAGAGGCGGAAATGTGGGCGGAAAATAAGGCAGACGACAAAAATATCACTGAAGAAGAAGAAGCAAAACGCAAAGAAACGAAAAGGAAAAGAGTAGGAGAAGGAGAGTAGGGGAAAAGAAGTGAATCATTTACATGAATCTACATGAAAAAGAAGGAAGATTAAAGATAACTAGGGAACATGAAAAAAGGACGGCAATAGGAAAGAAAATATAAGGGACAGAAAAAAAAGAGGAAATGAAAGAAAAGGGGGTGGAGAAATATAAAGAATAAATACCAAATACTTTCAATGACAGACAAGAAGGAAGCAAACATATGACACAAAAATAACTATAATAATGAAACAAAGAAAAAAAAGAATTATTTTAAAAAGATGAATTTTAAAGAAAGAAAAATGAATGAAGAAAAAAGGGTAGAAACTGATTTGTTCGAGTCGCGCGCGGTTATTGTTGAAAAGTAATGGATAAGCAAGGGAAAAAGCAATCAAAATTGGTCGTGTGATGAATGGCGCCATGAATTCTTCGTTCGGAACCAAAATAAACTGGACAGAGGAAAAACAAACAAACAAAACTTTTAAAAAACATAATTAGAATATATATATATATATATATATATATATATATATATATATATATATATATATATATGATTTATTTGAGTTCCCTTTTATTATGTTTCTTTTTGTTTTGCTTCGTTTAAATCATGAATCTTTTTATTTTGGTTCATTTTTCTTTTTCTGTTTCTTTTATAAATGTTTTTTCACTTCTCCAGCGTTGTGATTTATTTTATTCTTTCCTTCTTTTTTCATTTTTTTCTTTCTTTCTTCCATTTAACGTGCATTCATACTTATACAATGAGCTTTCTTTCTTTCTTCCTTTCCCAATAAATTTTCATCGTTTTCCCTTTTAACTAAATATCCTTCTATTTTCCACTGTGATTTTTTTAATTTCCTTTAAAACGTAGAACTTGGAAAACTGCATCTATTTTTATATTATCTAATAATGGCCGTCTCGTTTAGATTCTATGGGAACCCAGCAGTGATAGAATGTAAAATCACTTTCGATTTCACTTCCTGGAGCCGACTATACAAAATAAATATAAAAGGCGATCACCTTGCAAGGAGTTGGGTGGATGGACATGAAGACATTAAACGACTAGGTTTATGAAATGGAATATATAGAGTGGGAGAAGAAGATAGAAAAGGAAAAAGAGGGGGAGAAATTCTATATTATTCATATTATATGGACTTTTATATTAAAGGCAATATAATATGAATATATTTCCACATGAAGAAACAGACAAAAATAGAGAGAAAGAGAGTAGGGAGAGAGAAAGAGAGAATGGAAGAAATTAATGATATCAAGGAAACATAAATAGATACGACTGTTCAAGAAGACTTTACCCACAAAATTTCTGATTTTGTTGAAAGTGGCTTCTAACCGAAAACTTTCAATACACAATCATATATATCTACATATATAGCGTGGACTCTCACGTCATTGATCGACTCGGGCTGTTGATCCGCGCTTACAGGGGACCCTTTTACGACCTATGAGGGTCAGGTACCTCGATTCCTCTGAACTGACAGACATATGATTTGATTATAGTGCTGAAAGTTTTGTCCAGAACCAACCACACTTTTTGAAGAGCCGAATACAGAGACCTTGTGCACCGTGTGCTATAAGATCCACAAACGACCCTCCGTCGGTTTTTTGAATTCAGAGTTTTCTTTCTCCTAGACCAGTTGCCATCAAAGACTATAGAACCTAGGGTATGCTGTTATTTACCCATAGCTAGGGGAGAAGAAGAGGGTTCATACCTTTCCGAAGGTTATTAGCACATAAATGAATGTAATGGATTCGACTGGAATTCGAACTCGGCTCTCCGATTCCTCAATCGGAACCGTTATCTCTCTCTCTCTCTCTCTCTCTCTCTCACACACACACACACACACACACACACACACATATATATATATATATATATATATATATATACAGGCAGACTGTTTCACTGTATCACAGCTCATCAGTGTGGAGAGACGTCCGGTTGCCTCAAACTAGGATCCAAATCCAGCTGAATTGGCGCCAGTCAGAGATTCCACCCCTAAGGTGTTGGCGCATATATATAAATATATATATATATATATATATATATATATATATATATATATATATTTTATAACTCGAAAATAGTTCGATCGTTTTCAAATTTAAATGTCAGTGTGACACTGACTACATATTTATTAAACAGCGCCTTGAAACTCATATTACATAACATGTGCCTGACACTATCAGACTGGGTATTATTACACATAATACATGTCTGACGCAGACGGCCCAGGATTCCACGATAGGTCAACACCTTTTAGATAATCCAGATTGTGCGTCCAAATACACGGATTCATTGTTTTCCATTTTAGGCAAATCACGGTCGACAAAACTTTTGCAGACTTTAGAAGCAGTATATATCAAATTACACCCACCGTCTTTTTGTCGACAGAAATTTACCAAGAAAATTATTCCTTCTCTTTCTTTACTGGGAAATCAGTGAGTCGAAAAAGTTCTTTTTTATACTCACTGGAATTATTCTTTTTTTATTTTTTCACATTTTCTCTCTTTTATTTTTTTAGTTTCTCTGTTTTTAATATTAAATTGTATTTTAGTCGTAGTTCCTCGTGTCCGCCTTGTTTGTCTATCAACCCCCCCTCGCTAACATTTTAATAGTAGCCAAGGACTCTTCTGGTGAAATACTGGCCGAAAAAAAACGTTACCTTTTAAGGAAGAATATCCGGTTTTTTTGTCTGTTTAAAACTACGCGTTTTTGGTGGTATCACACACACACACACACACACACACACACACACACACACACACACACACACATATATATATATATATATATATATATATATATATATATATATATATATATATATATATATATATATATATATATATGCCTGTGTTTTGTGTGTCTATTAATGTGCAGATTATTTTATATATCTATAAATTATGGTAGACTACATATCAGTCTTATGATGTTGAATTTTTTTTAACGAATTGTACTGTATTTTCCAGGTTAAACATTATCCAACAGGTAACCAGCACTCCAAGAAGTGATCTGGTGAAAATATCATTACCGAAAGAAATAGGAAGCTTTTGAAAAATTTTGCAGGTGTGTTGTTATTGTTGATGCTAAGGTTAGACGTTTTATATTTTTTGCTGTAAATAATTAATTCAATTTTCTTGTTCTGTTTGACTGAGGTTGTGTCTTTCTTTATGATATTTCTAAGAGAAAATTTTCTTGCTTATAGTAAACATGTATTTGCATTTTATATTTAAACTCCATCGGAAATCTACCAAACCCCACCCGCATCATGCTAGTAGAAAATACAAGTATAATAGCCTCATCTACGTGTAAAAAAAGATTAAAAATAATAGAAGCACTACCAATAAAAAAGGAAACACTTAATAACATTAACTATGAACACGGTCACAATGTGCTGACAGTCTTTGGAAAATGAAACAATACTATTACTTCAGAAACACACATAAAAAACACACACACATTCAGTAAAAAATAAAAATTGTGCTTCATAATGGCTAAAAGAATAACCGAAAGCGCTCGGAAATACATAACTTTTGGACAGTTTTTACACAGTTTATATCGAAAAAAAGAAAACACCTGTACAAATACAAGGAAAATTAAAGAAAAGCTTAATCGCAATAACTTGTCAGTCGTTCAAACTTGTGCATACACAGACACAGACACACACACACACACACACACACACACACACACACACACACACACACACACACATATATATATATATATATATATATATATATATATAAACCTGATTTAATTGAGTTTCTCTTTCTTCTGTCTCTTTAGTTTTACTTCGTTTAAATCATGAATGTTTTATTTTTGGTTTGGTACTGGATCAGTAGGTTCATAGTTTGAATTTAATCTGAAATAAATATTTAACACTGAACTGTTGCGCAAAATCACGCACACATATTTATTCGTGGATATATATATATATATATATATATATATATATATATATATATATATATATATATGATTTTGATGTAAGTCAAATATTTCATCGTTTTGGAAAAAACAACTATTCATATATTTGTATTGTATGATTATTCAGCGATCAAATTATTTTTCATCTTACGTACATCGTTAGGTAAATTATGTATTTCATGAGAGAAGAACGATTTTGATTTTCCTTCGATAAATTCTTTGATATTTTCATAATATGATTGCTGATTAAGGAATTACTATAGAAATATTAATATTATAAAATAATTATTACAAAAATATTATATGGAATAAAATTGTCTGAAATGAGAGATCGAGAGAATATGCCATATGTAGGCGAAACGTTCAGGATTGCTTGCTGCGTCGGATTTTCACCATAAATAACTTTGACGGTTAACTTCCTTGATCTGAAACTTTTCAGCACTTCTTTGCATACTGACATATTGAGAGAATAAAATAAAATGACGAAAATGGAATGATATGAGTAATTCCTTTGACTGAAGTTCTTCACGAATTTGGGACACGCCGATGACTTCTGTATCTATTTTGTAGAATGGTAGTTAAAGAGTTCGATTTTAATTGGCGTCGAAGCGAACCAATTATGAAAACGAGACTTCCAACATTTTCAAAGCAGTTCAAAAATGACGGGTCATAGGCTAAAGAGAAAATAATTTTTTCTTGAAATGTAAATATTAAATTGCTAAATAATAATAATAATAATAATAATAATAATAGGGAAATTGAATTTAATTGCTAAAGATACAAAAGACAAATATGGAAAACGAATACAGAGGAGAAACAAAGAAGAAATTGGCGGCCAATAACTTTCATCTGAGTTTCGCAATACATTTAATACATCTGTCTCATCTGTGGCTTTCGTATTCTAACTTCAAACTCACACACTTCTTACTGTCTGCGAGGGTTTTAGTGAAACATCTCCATCAGTGCTCACCAACCCGCAAGGCACCTGACGATCTAATAATTTTCTTTCTCGCTTTTTACCTCGGGTGTTTATCGCCTTTTCTGACAAGGACAGCCGAAATGGATGTTGGTGGCGTGCAACAGTTCCATGCTGAAGTCGGTACGGACACGTGCTTGCGTACATTCGGTCAATTAAAAGGCTCCAGGTGAAGGACGGACAGCCAGCCCACACAGTCATTTAATTAAGTGGAGGGTCATCTATATTGGTGGCCGGCAGTTCGTTTACTCTAACTGACCTGGCGGCAAAAGTATAAGAGTGTTGGTGGAAGGGGTTCATGTCAGCTTTGGAAGAAAGATTGTATATTCTGATGACTTACCCAAGTTAACTCTTCCTGTGAACGATGGAGAAGAACAAAAATTGTAGAACAAATGCTGGCTTTCAGGTTTTAAAGATATAATATTTTTCATTTTTGCAAATCATACAACTGTCTACATTCATAGTTAGTTCTAAACGTTGGCTACGCCTCATAGAAGGATAGAAACGGAAAAAGAAAGCGAAGGGAAATAATTTTGTGACAAGAAGGAAATGAACGTAGCTTTTGGCTTTTTATTTAATACATTGGCAATTAAACGAAATTAACATTAGATGAGTTATTCAGTCATTACATCCCCCATATATATATATATATATATATATATATATATATATATATATATATATATGCAAAGTTCATTAAAAATAACTGACAAGGTGCTGTGGTTAAGTAATTTTATATACTTTTTCAGGATATAAATTGTCCGAATGTTTTATATATCCAAGCGCGTCCGGCCATACTTTTATTCATTATCAAGAATGAATTTTATTTTACTTTTAACTGAATATACAGATTATTTTATGTAGTATCTAGAGTTATAGGAATCATTTATTTTCCAAACACGGTCAGCACAATGTGGCTGTGTTCATTGGCATTATTCATATTATTAAGTGTTCTTTTTTTTTTGTGTTTGTAAAATAAAATACATCGTTATCTCTATATATATATATATATATATATATATATATATATATATATATATATATATATATATATACTCACACGCACACACACATCTATCTATATATATATATATATATATATATAGCCTTGGATGGCAACTGGTCTAGGAGAAGGACAACTCTGAATTCAAAACCTGCGGAGGGTCGTTTGGGAACCTTGTGGCATGCATTCGGTGCACCAGGTTTCTGTATTCGTCCCTCCAAAAAGTGTGGCTGGTCCTGCACCACTATAAACAAATCTCATGTGCCGGTGTCGGGATGTCGGTTTCCTGGGGACTTATCGGCCTGACCCTCATACGTCGAACGCGACGGGAGAGTCGATTTATATATATATATATATATATATATATATATATATATTCTCATAATGATTCATGTCTCCTTGCCACCGTAGCCCAAACGTTTTATATATATAATTTATTCGAAAATTATAACATAAATACGTTATAAAATCACTACAAAAATAACCATTTTGTTTCAACACTTCTGGTGTCTTCTCAAAAGATCATTTGATAAGACAGCAGAAATGTTGAAACAAAATGGCTATTTTTATAATTATTTTATAAAATATTTATGTTATAATTTTGGAATAAATTATATTTGCTCTACTCTGTATTGAGCACTCTTTTAAGAATAATATTTTTTTTGTTATTGGAATTTATTCCGTATACACCAATCCCGTACTTGCATATATATATATATATATATATATATATATATATATATATATGATAAAGCGAACTATTCTTTACCAACGCGTTTTCCCCTTGATGAACTTAATCAAAACATATATGTCTTATTATTTTTAATTATATTTATAAAGAAAAGTAAAAAAAGATGCTTAGGTTTTCAAAATCTTTAAATTTAAGAACGCTTATAAATATTCATCAAGTTAACTGTGAAAATCAAGGTAAACTATGGAGAATGCTAATTGATGTAAAATAAAAGTGAGTAGATTTTTTTTGGTGATGTTGTTGAATTTTTTTTAAATTTCTTTATATAGATATATATCTTTATTTACTAACTTTTTATTATCAGTATAATTATCATTTATTATTTTATTTTAATTTGATGAATTTCTTTGATTTGTATATTTTGAATACATCTAGAAATAAATATCTCTATTGATTTTTGTCATCCAGAAAATATATATGTTGAAAAAGATAAGGTTTTTTTTCGTACTGTTCACACGATAAAAGACCCAAAAGCTGAGTAGTTACTAAATGAGGTTGTCGTAAATGCATAAAGCAAGGGTGCAAGAGATATATATTAAGAGGATATGTAGGATAGATAACGGTTTACCAACATTGGTTGTCTAATTTTATTTTTTGGTGATATAGATTTGCAAATAAAAGCTAAGAAGATTTTGAGTGCACGCCAAATATAGTTCGATCTCTGATTGCTATTCGTTTTGGATTTTTGTGAAATCGGTCAGTGATTATTAAGAGGACTAATTCCAAAGAGACGGTAGATGTTTTATGGTTACTATTCTATTAATTTTTGGTAGCACCTTATATATATATATATATATATATATATATATTTAAAGTTAGCAAATTTTAATTTGCTTCAACTCAAAAGACCTTGGAAATTTTGTTTCTATCATCATCGAATGACTTTAAGCAATGTAAGTACCACTCTCTCCAAACATTCTAATTAATTAATGAATGATGGTAATACACCCATAATTATTTGGGATATTGTAACAAAATACAAATCTTACAATGGGAAAGGTGATAGATGTAATTTATGCCTTGTAGGAAAATTAGTTATCTTTAAACACTTCAATAACCATAACTTATTAAACAAGAGAAATGCATTAATGGTTACATAAAGTGTGAATACGTTGATCCAGATTAATTATTAATGTTAACTATGATCTTTCGCTTTTTCTTTTTACACACACACACACACACACATATATATATATTGTCCGGAATTTCAACTTGTTAGCTTATCCCAATTTCGACACCGATAAACGCTAGCTATGAACACAGGCTCCCCTTCATAGTGCGCGCGCAACATATATTTTATTCTAGACTCTGGCCCAAGGCATCAATGGCAAGACAAACCTAATAGATATGAAACTTGCAACCAACGATCCGCAAGATTAATTTGTTAACTCTAGTTGTACACGAGGCTAGTAACACTCAAAATATGCGAATAAATATTGCAGCACAAACTACAATACACACTACAAGATACTGTGACATTCACATTGATATGCATCAGGAAAGAAACTCATTAAAATATACAAACAGAAGCATACACACGTCCATACATCACTTTCGTATGAGGACAAGCTCTTCGTCGTTTTCGCTTATTTATTAAAAATAACCTCAAGTACTATTAAGATTGAAAGGGATTTTTATGATCCATGAGGAAATAATAGCCGCTGTTTGTTCAATATTCCTAGCCAGAATCCGTAAATAGGTTTTGTTTTTCAGTCATTTTCTCTTCTCTACAGAAAAGAGTTTCACACTCCGTCGATAACGATCCTCACACACGCATTTAAGACCATTCCACAGAGAAATTCTCGGATGAAATCTTCGGTCAAATGAATTGCAAGTCTTGTCAAATGAAATCAGAGTAACAATACCTTTGCTTTCGAATAGGAATTGAGATGCCAGTCAAAGTCTTCGGTCTAGTCGTATATATATAAGGAAATCCAAGTATGTAAGCGAGTTTAATTTATGAATACGGGAATAGCAAGATAAACGAACGAACTCAGCCACCCGCAGCCACAAAAAATGAGCGATCCTACCTCGTAATTTAAATTAATTCTGACAAAAGTGAATGTAACACTGAGACAACTTACTCTTTCTAAGAAAGCTTCTATCAACAACAGTGGATAGGCGTCATCGTCTTTTTGTATTGTAACTATTTATATTGTTCGGACGATTGTCCTCATCTTTATTGTCATATTCACGACGTTTCGGCCGTTGTACACACCGGCGTTGTACGCTCCGGCCTTCTTCAGGTGATATACGTTGGAATTTCGTACCGAAACAATGTAAATATTTTAATTAATTACAATACCACATATTAGAAATATAGACAAGCATTTGCTTATTTTAAGTTAGTCGAACACAGGGCCAGCATTCACCGTACATATTTTGTTTATCTCTGTATTGATTTTCGAGCTAAATAAATGAGAACAAATTGATCTCCGAATAAGATTCGAATTCTATTGACCAATTTACGCACTTTCTTTTGCAAATGTCGACGGTCACAGGAGTCTATGACGCTAATCAGTGCTTCCATGAACAAGCAGAGACCGCATAATTTGATCAAAAATACAGATGACATTTTTACAGATTGTTGTATCTCCATTGTTCTCTTTTAGCCAATTTTCAGTTTTGGAAGACAAGAAATTAAAAACAATTGAACGCAGGAATCAAGAAAAGAAAAACGATTTAAAAACGTCATTGACACAAATTAAGTTTTCGAATGCGCATGCGTTGAAATGTCAGACGACTATCTTTGTGGGGTGTTCTTTTATTTATTTATTTGCTGGGAAGGGAGATTTGTTGCCCGGAGAAGTGAAGAAATCTTCTAAATGCAGAATCCTCTGTGACAGTTCTGAAAAATTCTGACATTTTGTGGAAATTGCTGATATGTGTGGTTTCCCATTTTTGACTGTCGATTAGATGTCGGCTAAGGAGAGGTAGAGATGAAAAATTAAGAGGAATTAAGGAAAGAGTTGGGGAGGGACAAAAAAAGACAGATGATGAAGAAGTTGTAGTCGAAAAGGGAAGGCATGTGAGTATGGAAGAGAAATAAAAAAAAATGAAAGATGACATTAATGACAAAAAGAAGATTAATAGAAAGAAAGAAATTTAAATGAAGAAAAACGAAGGAAAATAAAATTTGAAAGAGAGTTGCCTATTTCCTAACAGTGCTAAGAGTTGGCCCTCTATCCCAGATAAAAAAAAACAAAAACAAAATAAAACAAAAATAAACTAAATTTGAATGCTGAGTTTTAAGATTAGCAGCCTCTCACCGTTTGGTAGATTGTCGGAACACAATATTCTGATTTTGGTTTACAAGGAATTTCAAATTTATAAACAGAAGGAATTATGTATGATATAAAACAAACAAAAACATTTTCCAGATTTAAAAATGTGTATTTTTTATGCCTGACCGTAACCTAGTGGATTAAATCATTGGTTTGAAAATTTAGTCTCATAGCAATTGAGATCATAATCCATGCGTCTAGTATTGAATTTGTGGAAAGGGCGAAAAATAACCGAAGGAATGCGTTAAATAGCAGGGTAGACTAGTCAGTCTAGACTTGGCACGCAGTCATTCTAGTAAATGGGCTCTGAAATAAAATACATGGAGAAAGGAATGGATACGATTCTAGTATCTTTGCCAAGATTTCATAGATAAAGAAGAAAAGGAATGCGTAGAGGTCTATGATGACTTACTTCCTGAACAGATATAATATTAAAGATATGATTTAATTAAGACTTACTATTTTCAGTCAATATCAGTGCGAACGGGAGTGGGCAACTTTCCACAAATAAAATAAACTTGTTACCGGTTAAAAATGACGGCATTTTCGACAGGATCAATGTAGTATATGTGTCCTCTGATTAGGCTCAGTAACCATTCGAGCAATTTTAGCTAAGATCAGATGAGTATCTGTGCACTTTTTGAAAAGTGTTATACACAACAACAGATGCACACATTACGCTTGATTAATTTTTCTTTGCTACAGCTTATCAAAATATTGCAGGTTATTTAAAAACAAAAATATCTTTAGATTGCAAAAATCTTTTTGGAGATAATAATGGTTTTAGGGATACAAGTCATACTAATTAACCCATAGCTCGGAAGAGAAGAGGTATATTTATACCTTTCTCATGGGTATGTGCGCAAGCGTAAATATAAAAAACCTAACGGAAGTTAGAACTCGACTCTGCGATGTCCAATTTTGAACCATTATCCATTACACCACCCGCACACCCAAGCTTACAGCACCTGGTATTTTCAAGCGGTCACCTATCTAGGTTGAACATTGCGATCTTTAAACCATATCTATAAACATAATATCTCTGATAATTAGACATCCCTTAGACATTCCCTTATAAATGTAACGAAATTTAACCAATATATATATATATATATATATATATATATATATATATATATATAAGATGAAGTATTGTAATTATTTACATTATTTACATTGTGTGGACTGTTCTCCTCATCTTCGATACCATATTTACGATGTTCGGCTCTTGTACGCTCCGGCCTTGTTAGGAATTTAGAACCGTACTCTGTATTTCGTCAACCGGGACAGCTTATTCTAGTTCCGCGTACTATACCTCTTCTGAATGTCTCATGAGTCATCTCCCTCTAACTCAACTCTCCAAGTTTTAAAGGACATATAGACCAATGCATAAAAGCCTTGGTTGTATCCAGTGACTTGACCCAAAGAATTGTGAGTTCAATGTTCAGGGCTGAAGAAAAATTGGAGAGTTAAGTTAAAGGGAAATAATTGATACTGACACATTCGGAAGAGGTATGACACGTGGAACAAGAACAATCTACCCCGGTGGATGAAATAAAAGGGTTCAGTTCAAAATTCCATCACCTGAAAAAGCGTACATCGGCCGAAACATCATGAATATGGCAGCGAAGATGTCGACAACAGTTCGAACAATGTAATTAGTGTAAAAAAATGAAAAAAAAAATGAAGAGTATTTGGAATTATCGAATGAAAAACATACCATGGAATCTTGTCATGCAAAACACCACATAATAATCAGGCACAAACCACCGACTCCCTAACTTGATTCCAAAATGTGCAAACAATGTAAAAAATGAAGAAAGAAGACAACGCCGTTTCTTTCAAGTTATGACAGAAACAACAGTTTCGCGAAACAATTATATCCACTTGAAAATAGAGAGTGTGCTTCAGAATTTAGCATTAATATCTTGCTAAACATGACGTCATCTCATTGATGAACCTGTGGCCTTCTTGCATTTTGCTGGAAGCCATTGCAACATTTCATCACTGGAAATAATTAAAAAGAATTAGCTCAAATGAAAATCAACTGAAATGATTTTCATCATTATTGCCCATTACCAGTGTCGGCCAAAATGTAACTTTATCGTCGAATGAAAAATAAAGGAATGAATCTAATGCATAACACTACAGTTTTATTTAACTTCGTCAATTGTCGTCTGCCAGTGGGTACGTGTATTGTCCTCTCCCAACGTATCGATGTAAGAGTTACTCTTTTCTCTCTGGGGTGGGTGGTATCTCGCTGGCATAATTTATTTCGACGAGTACACATTTTAGACAGGGAAATATATATATATATATATATATATATATATATATATATATATATATATATATATATATATATATCGTACAGATCAATCCGTCGATGAACCTAACTGAGTGCAAGAGTCTGGATTCACCAACTACAAAAGTAACTTCATCAATTTATCTGAGAAACGACTAAGTTTACAAATATGAAGGCGCCTACCTTGCAGCGATAATTGAAAGACGATTACTTCGCTTCTTGCTAGCCACCTAACCAGTTTAGTCATAGACTAGACTAAGCTGAGTACAAAACACATTTTATATTAAATCACGTCGTATTTTCATAATCTGAGATCATGTTTGGAATCGGCTTGGTAAAACTGATGATGAGTTTCCTATTAGAAAATAGAATTCATATTTGTTACATGTTTATATATAGCGTGATTGAAAAGTAACTTTTCATTTAAAAATGCTTATAATTTATTTATTAGCTATAATTTTTACAAGAAATCGATATGAGAAGAAAGTGTTTAGCATGAGGTTTTATTTCAAATTCAATATGGACACCAGATTTCGTTACCAGGGCCGCCCAGCAATCGCGTCAACTGATTTCTCCAGGAACTCTTGTGGTGCGGAAAACATAACTTCTTGCATTCGATTTTCAATTTTTTTTTTTTTCAAAAGTCTTGCTTTATTATTGTAGACTTGCTCCTTTAACCAACCCCGAAGAAAAAAGTCACAGTGTGTTAAGTCATTACTCCTGGTTGGCCACTCATAAACAAAATTAGGAGTTACTTTTTAATTACCCTGTAGTTTGGCGATAAATACTACTTGGAAATAAAAGATGCAGATGCCATTTAGACGAAATTAACTTATCTATCCCTCCATCTTTATTTGATTCCCTAGCGACTGTCCAATTAAATATTAGAACCTGTGTTAATCTAAAGGTGAATCGTTTAGATACTTCCCAAAAGGACAGGTGAATATATCAACCAATCAGTTATGATCATTTTAGAAAAAAGTTTGAAACGTTGCAGGTTATGAAAAAAGAAAAAATAACGTCGTCAATTTTGCTATTTCGATACTGTGACGGTAAGGTAATCAAATTTAAAATCTAAATTGCTTGTCCATTTAAAATATTACATTTATTAGAAAATATATGCAATTTAATTACCAAAAGGGTCATAAAAATGGCTTCAAAGAGCTGCACCTTTCAGTTTATACTCTTTGACTGTTACCCAGGGGTTGTAGCCAGACTTAAAGGGAAGTTAACCCTTGCAACACATGCACGCATGTATATTTTAATTCAATGACAGACCTAAACATTATATTATTTTTTTTAACTTTAAAAGTAATTTTATTACTGAATAATTTTCGATGTTAACTAAAATCTTATAAGATTGATTTTTTAAGGTTTCAAAAATTAATGTTTTTGTCTCTAAGTGTTTATTTTTCCTCTCATTCCACTCTTGCCATTTTTATCGGAATTCACTTTTTATCGTTATTACTTTTTCTGAAAGTTTAATGTAAATTCACTTTATCGTTATAAGTAGATTAAAACTGGACATTTACGTTGTGGCCGACTCTATGCTGTCAGACTCTAGGTACTAATAAACAGATATGATGAGACTGATATAGAATAGATATAATTAGACTGATATCAATCGATAGACACGAATACACCGATGTCAATCGATAGAAACCGAAGGAAATAATTATCGATATGAAACTAAAACTTTCTCTCACAGTAGGTAAGTAAAGAAGAAAAAAATGATTATTTTTATTTATTTTCTTTATTTTCCCTTGTTTCTAAATCATGGTTGTACAGCGCAGCCCAGGAAAGAAGTTGTCCAGAGTGAGTGGGAGGGGAATGTGTTATTTCAATGTCTTATTTTAAACTCATTAGCACAACACAGGCATACGCATACACATTATATTAACGCATACAATGTCACAGGCAGACTTTGTGTGACGGACAGAGAATTAATTCTGCTTTTATAATATAAAGATCCTGGGCTTAAAATTTTCCAGTTGAAAAAAAAAGACTGTTTTCAACTGTGTATTTAATCTCGAATTTAAAAAATGGATGTGGTGAAGGAAGAAAAAGAAAGAAAAAGGACGTGAAGAAGGAAAAAGAATAAAAAATAAGGGCGTGGGGAAAGAAGAAGAAGAAAGAAAAAAGTTTGGAAGAAGAAGAAGAAGAAGAAGAAGAAGAAGAAGAAGAAGAAGAAGAAGAAGAAGAAGGAGGAGGAGGAGGAGGAGAGAAGAAGAAGAAGAAGAAGAAGAAGAAGAAGAAGAAGAAGAAGAAGAAGAAGAAGAAGGAGGAGGAGGAGGAGGAGGAGAAGAAGAAGAAGAAGAAGAAGAAGAAGAAGAAGAAGAAGAAGAAGGCGGCTTTGCAATTTTCTGAATACATCTAATATTTTGTATGGATATTGATCAAAATCGTGAATTACTTATTCGGAAAGATACCAAAAATATCTATATTCTGGACTTTTGTGCAAACATATTCTTGTATACTTT